TAATAAAGATTATTAAAATAAATTACTTACCGTTGTCTTAAACCAAGGAATAAATTCAAGTTGCCGTTTGATTTGAATTTGATCCTCTGATAGACTAGAACATACTTGATAATCAAAAAGCCTACATGAAGAAATTGGAGTAAATTGAGATCTAAACATACTAGTAACAGCCTCCAAATGAAAGCTAGAACTAGAGAACATACGCAATCCATGGATTCACTTCTTCACAATTAAGCAAAACATAAAGTTCTGCTGCCTTTAATTCTTTGGGTGACAATGCACGCATCCGCATTTCTCCACCTAATGCTTGACCTCGATGTTTAAAGACAGACAAACAATTATCCATATCATCACTCATGCCGACAATGTTTCTTGGTTGACGATTCAATCTTGTCTCTATGTTAGATCCAAAATAATGCGAGCAAAAGAAGGAAATTTCTGAAAGAATATTAGACTCGCAAATTGAAGCTTCAACACGATTTTTGTTCAACACTGTTTTCTTAAGGTCATGCATTTTTCTGTTAAACAAATAAGAAAATTAATTAATAACATTAAATTATTAAATATGCTCATGAATGTTATTGTGATGTAAAGATATATTAGAAGAAATATACCTTTCAAAAGTATATATCCAACGAAATTGGACAGGTCCTCCAACTTTTGCCTCATCTGGTAGATGGATAGCCAAATGCTCCATTGAGTCAAAGAATGCTGGCGGCAATATTTTCTCTAACTTGCAAATGGTCTCAACAATTTTTTCCTCCCACATCTCCATGTTACTGACTTGAATAATCGGAGCAGTTAAAGCTCTAAAAAAGTTACTGATCTTAGTTAAGGGACCCCAAACTTCATCTATGAGGAAATCACGGAAAGCAATTGGCAAGAGACGCTGCATGAATACATGACAATCATGACTTTTCATCCCAAACAATCGAAGTTCCTGCATGTTAACACATCGTGCTATGTTGGATGCATACCCATCTGGGAATCTCAATTCCTTCAGCCACTAACAGATAAGAGCTC